AACTTGGTATTAGTATAAATCAGCTTAGGATGAAAAAGGTTTATAGGATAGGTCAGTCATGGATTAAGGTTAGCGGTTGTTATGGGATTTTTAGGTTATCATTTAACTTGGTATTAGTATAAGTTAGTATAGGACAAAAAGGGTTTATAGGCAGTCATGGATTAAGGTTTAACATCTGTTATGGGATTATACTTGAAAGAACATCTGGTGGGTGGGGGACGCCCCTCACACACCTGGCTTTGTGTATAAAAGACCCGGTTGTTATTCCCAATAAATGGCTTCTGCACTAGATAGGGGTCCAGTCTCTTTCTCTCTCCCTCTTTCTTCTTCCCCTCCAATCGTTGATGCCGTCTCCACCTTTGGGGTACCCTGAACCCAGCAGAAGCTGGACTCCCGCACAACTCTAATTTCATTAGTTCAAGAATGTATCCAGTGCCAACCACATTTTAGGCACTGGGCTTGGCACAGGGATTCAGGGGTCAATGAAGATAAATGTGGATCTTGCTTTCACAGGACATACATTCCAGTGGGGAAAAGCCTATCAGTCAAATAACTGCACTAACAAGAATACGACTCCCAAGTGACAGGCGCTGTGAAGGAAAGGAGGCAGTTCTACAAGCACGTAGCAGACGGACGGACGAGACTCAGGGGTAGAGGGGAGACTTCCCTGTGGAAGTGCCAGCTAAGCTCCATCCATCTGAAGGTTGAGGGAGTTAACTAGACACAGCAGTGGAGTAAGAGTAACAGCACACATAGGGAAGCACAGGTGGTGCTGGGGTAAGAGAGCATGTCACAGTAGATTTGAGAAACAAAAACAACACGGCAGCATATCTGGAGTGCAGAGTGAGAGAAAACTATATTAAGAATGACTTTTATTAAAAGGGAAGTGCAGAGTGAGAGAGGCTGGTGAGAGACAGGCAGAGGCTACATGGACCATAGGACCATGTAAGAACAGTGGAAGGGAGTGGAGATGGGGCTGGATCCTGCTGCAGTGAGGGGGAACAGTGATGGGACAATAAAGACTCAAGAGACTGGCTTAATCGTAAAAAAAAAAAGAACAGTGGGAAGCCACTGGTGAAATTTACGAAAAGGGGTGACAAGTTCAAATTTGACTTTGAGACGCTTGCTCTCTGTAAAGAAGCCTTTAGAGGGGTGTGGAGGGCAGGGCAGTGGCTGCGAGGAGGCCATTGGGAGGTCATTCTGGGCTCCAGGGGAGAGACGCAGTGTGGGCCAGTGCACACACAGATGCTTGGTCGCCTGTGGCCCATAAAACCCGTGTGCCTCTGTCTCCGGCTCTCTACGTGTAAAGTGAGATTGTGTTACTTATTCCAAGTTGTGTGAAGATCCAAGATAAAACACATGAAGCATCCAGCAGGCATCTGAGAAATGGTGAGACAAGCAGTGTCTGGAGGCTCCTTGAATCCCGTGGCTCAACAACTGTCATGTTCCCTGATACCTGGGGTTCCTTCTCCCTCGTCAAAGTGAGGGTCTGGTGTCTCCAGGGGTGTTCACAGCTGCCCTCTGACTCACAACACCCAAGCCCCAGACTTATCCTTCTTCCCTCCCAGTCCTGTCCCATTGGGTGGCTCCTATCCAGAGGATTTGACTTCCGCTCCAATTCTAACTCAGGAGATTTCCCGGGTTACCACCCCTGTCTAAAATTCCAGCCTCCTTCCACACAACAGTTCTCTTGTAAACTCACACCCCTCTGGGCCTGTCTGCTTCAGGGCCAGACCCAGTAGCTTGCGTTCTGCCTGCAATGGTGCCCACTTGCTCATCTTTCAAGCTAACTGCTGCCGGGCTTCTCACTGCTGTACTACAGTTGTCAAAAACAAAGTTTGGCTGGCCAGGAATAGGGGCTCATGTCTGTAATCCCAGCGCTTTGGGAGGCTGTGGCAGGAAGATCGCTTGAGCCCAGGAGTTCGAGACCAGCCTCAGCAATATAGTGAGACCTCGTCTCTATAAAAAAATAAAAAATATAGCTGAACGTGGTGGTGACCACCTGTAGTCCCAGATACTTGGGAGGCTGAGGCAAGAGGACTGCCTGAGCCCAGAAGGTCAAGGCTGTGGTGAGCCATGATCATGTCACTGGACTCCAGCCTGGGCGACAGAGTGAGACCCTGACTCAAAACAAAACAGAACTTGGATGAAACTGTAGTGCTGTTGAATGAAACTGTTCTGCATGGCCAGACTGACAACACCATCCCCGCGTAGTAGTCACTCATGGCTCCCTGTCATTCTGCACGCTCTGGTCTCAAGTGCAGACTCGACTCCCCAATTCACTGCCTGTGGCAGAGTCCTAACTCATTACGTGGATATTTGTTAGATACGTGTATTATACATAGTTCTACCTTTTCATTTTTTAGTAATGATTTTTAAAGAAAAGTTCTTAATTTTGATACATCTGTTTTTTCCTTTCATGGTTTACATTTTGTTTCCCATGTCAAAATCTTTGCCTAACTCAAGGTAATAAAACTGTTTTTCTTATGTTTTATACTACAAGTCTTATCTTAGCTTTTAAGTTTAGATCTATGATCCACTTTGAGTCACTTTTTTGTACACTGGGAGGTAAGAGTAGAAGTTAACTTTTAAAATTCCATATGAATATCCAGTTGTTCCAGCACCATTTGTTTAAAAGACTATACTTTCTCCATTGAAATATCTTGGCACCTTTGTTGAAAACCCATTGGCCATGTATGTGTGGGTCTACTTCTGGATTCACTGATTTATTGGTTTACAGAGCAATCCTTGCACCAGTACATTACTGTCTTGATTGCAGAAGCTTTACAGTAAGTCTTGAAATCATGTAGTGCAAACCCTCTAATTTTGTTATTCTTTTACAAAATTGTTTATAAAGTTATTTTTGGTTATTTTCTCTTTTTTCTTTGTTTTGCTTTTGAGACAGGGTCTTCCTCTGTCACTCAGGCTGGAGTGCAGTGGTATAATCATGGCTCACTACAGCCTTGATCTCCTGGGTTCAAGCAATCGTTTTACCTCAATCTCCCAAGTAGCTAAGACTACAGGCACACATCCAGCTAATTTTATTTATTTTTATTTTTAATTAATTTATCTGTTTTTGAGTTGGAGTCTCACTCTGTCGCCCAGACTGGAGTGCAGTGCCACTTCCGGCCACCGCAGCCTCCACCTGCTGGAACTCTGGTGATCCTTCCGCCTCAGCCTTCCAAGTAGCTGGAACTACAGGCACATGCTACCACGCCCAGCTAATTTTTTGATTTATTGTAGAGAAGAGGTCTCACCATATTGCCCAGACTATTTTTGAGTCCCTGGGCTCAGGCAATCCTTTTGCCTCTGCCTCCTGAAGTGTTAGGATTACAGATGTAAGCCACCATGCCTGGTTCAGCTAATTTTTTATTTTTAAATACTTTATTTACTGATCTGGGAGGGACTGGCTAATTTTTAAAACATTTTTGTAGAGATTGGGTCTCACTATGTTGCCCAAGTTGGTCTAGAGCTCCTGTTCTCAAGGTCCCCCAGTCTCCCATTAAGATGACTGTGGGATTACAGGTACACCTTACTCCTAATAAGGGCAGAGGTGCTGGATTATCCAACGTCAGGATTCACAGTTCTTTGTATCCTTCAAAATATCCACCAAATTCTCTTACTTGTGATAGATGCAAGTTACAACTTGTTAATTTTTCAATATTTCTTATAACTCAAAGAATCAATAATATACATGTAAATATAGAATCAGATTTATCATGTCATAGACTGTTTTTCCACATTAGATTACAAGTTAGCACTTGAAACATATTTTACAGTGTGCATAGCTTTCTAACCTCTAGTATCTCATGCAACAGTAAGATAAAATACCTTCAAACCAACCAAAGAGAGAAACAGAGCTTGGATTCCCTTGGTGAATTCCTGAACAAGTTGACTGTAACAGTTTTCCAGTGGTCTGGTTATTAGCTCCAATACCTATAAAAGTTAAAACATTATACTTTATGTACTATTAAAAATAAACTAGTAAACTATTTTTACTTCACATAAATACTGTGGATTCAGGAGGAGACAAAAAACATAAGGACAAAAGAGTAAGAATTTAACATTTTCCTCAAAAAATGAAAGATAAATAGAAAAATTACCTTTCATTGTCTGAAATATAAAGTTTTTCAAACTACTCTGTTAATCATTTAGAACAGGAAGCATTATTTAAAATAATACTAGTAATTAATTTTTAAAAGATCTCATAAAAGGGCTAGACAAAGACTAAGAAAAAGAGACAGAAACAACTAGCCAATAGCATGAGTATTACCTGCTGTTTGTCCTTCTCTTGCAATATAAGGACACTCTCCCCAGCAGTGTCTATTCCAGCACGACCAGCTCGGCCAACCATCTGTTTATATTGGTGTCTCTTTAGGAATTCTGTAGCAACATAGGGAGACCTTAAGATAACCCTATGGAATGGAAAAAATTAATTAAAAGTGACACTCTGTCTACAGCAAACAGCACCTATTATTTAAATTCTTAATTCATTATATTTCATTATATATAATCTATGTGATATTAAATTTAAGAACATATTAACTCAAAATAATAGGTAACTATCAAGATTCTATGATGTCTTTGGTTCTTTATACATTTGTTATCTGTAATTCTTACAAAACTTTTAGTAATATCCTTTTCTATTTTCTTTCTTTCTTTTTTTTTTTACCAAGGAGTTAACTGAATCCCAGTTAAGAGGCTTACCCTAAACCAAAACATTAGTAATGACTAGAACCATCATCTGGACTCAAGTCTGACTGGCTGCAATGATCAGTCTATAGCAGTCATCTCCAACACTTTTTGATTTTATACTCCATAAATAAACATTTGATCATGTGCCATCAATATATGTACATTTATTTATGAATTTATATCATTCTGATATATATAAAATTGTAGATTTCAACTGTGTTTGGCCTACAAAAATGACTATTTTAATCATGTTCATGTGTATAGAAGTCTGTAGTCAGCTTTCCTGTCCAAAGGTTAGAGAAAATCTATGTCATTCACTCATACTAATCAGCCTGCTCCCTATTTATAAATCTCAATAGGCAGCCAATATTACCAAATACTTGAAGGAAAGTAATGACACAAAAGAAAAACAAGAACTTACAGAATAAATGCCCACAAAAGCAGACAGGAAAGGGAACAGAAAAGAACTTTTAAAAGTCCTAAATAGTACTGTAGAAAATTCCAGAGGGTATTACATTCACCATATGAGAGCAGACTTTTCTAAAGAAAAAAGAATAAGGCTGGGCTCAGTGGCTCAGCCTGGAATCCTGCGCCTTTGGGAGGCTGAGGTGAGTGGATTGCCTGAGCCCGCGAGTTCGAGACCTGCCTGGGCAGCGAGACCTCATCTCTACAATAAATCAAAAAATCAGCCAGGCGTGGTAGCGCATGCCTGTAATTCTGGCTACTTGGAAGGCTGAGGTGGAAGGATCGCCGGAGCCCAGCAGGTCGAGGCTGCGGTGGCTGGGAGCGGCCACTGCACTCCAGTCTGGGCGACAGAGTGAGACTCCAACTCAAAAAAAAAAAAAGACAAAAGAATAAAAGAGTCCTTAAAGACAAAAATGTTTAATACCTTTAAAAAATTCAATTGAAGAACTGAATAATGACTGAAAGTAGTTAATGGATATAGTTTAAAAATGATTTTTTAATGTGGAAGACAAGTTAAAGAAATCACCTAGCTAAAATAAATGGAAAACTTTGTAAAAAAAGAGATACAAAAGCTCAATGTAATATGCCTCAACTTTGTCTAACTGAAGTTATAAATGAAGAGAACAGAGATGATAAGAGAAAAAAAAGAGAAATAACAGAAAAAAAATACTCAAAGAAGAAAACAGGCATACATTTTAAATTAAAAGCATCCCCCAGTCGGGTGTGGTGGCACATGCCTGTAATCCCAGCACTTTGGGAGGCTGAGGCAAGAAGATTGCCTGAGCCCAGGGGTTCAAGATCAGCCTAGAAACTTGGTGAGATCTCATCTCTACAATAAATAAAAAAATTAGTCGGGTGTGCTGGTGCACGCCTGCAGTTCCAGCTACTTGGAAGGCTGAGGTGGAAGGATCACATGAACCCAGTAGGCGGAGGCTGTGGTAACTGTGAATGTGCCACTGCACTCCAGCCTGGGTGACAGAGTGAAACCCCAACTCAAAAAAAAAAAACCCCAAACAAACAACAAAGCATCCCCTCCAAGAGCTAAGCCCTATGAATGAAAAGTAGATGAGATGGGATTGTAGAATAAGACTTCTGGGTTCAAACTTTGGCTTTAAAACTATGCAGGGTGTGAAGTTGGGAAAGTTCTATTACTGTTCAGTGCCTCAGGTTTCCCTTCTATGTGTTTAATAAAATTCCACCTTCCATCACAGAGTTGTTTTAAGGATCTATTAAGTCAAAGCATGTAAAGTTATTATTACATGAGGGGGAGGGAAATGAAATAACCACAGCTATTATTATATACCATGATGAAATTTTAAGGTTAAAGAGAAAAGTCTAAAAGCTTATGGAGAGGGAAAAAAACAGCAAATTCATACAGATAAAAATGAGCAACACTGGCCTCTAGAAGACACAAAACAATAGTTACAAAGTATCCTCTCCCCACCCCCCAAAAATTGAGTGTAGAATCATTTTCCTAATGAATGTTAAAGTGTGAGACCAAAATACAGACTCCTCCAGCTATGCAAAGACTCAAAATTTGTCGACCCCAATGCAGTGTTCTAAAATAATAACTCAAGGAAGACAAACTTTAAAAAGTTAATAATAGAAGGAAGATGTGGGATATAAGAGGCAGTGGCAAACAAAAAGCAATTAAAATCTAATTAAAATCTAACCCTGCGCTGGATGTGGTGGCTCAAGTCTATAATCTCAGCACTTTGGGAGGCCGAGAAGAGAGGCCTGGGTAATATGGTGAGAACTCGTCTCTACAATAAATGAAAAAGTTAGCTGGGTGTGGTAGTGCATGCCTTAAGTTCCAGCTACTTGGAAGGCTGAGGCGAAGAATCGTGTGAGCCCAGCAGGTTGAAGCTGTGGTGGCTGGGAGTATGCCACTGCACTCCAGCCTGGGCGACACAGTGAGACTTACTCCAACCCAAAAAAAAAAAACCAAACAAAAACATCTAATCCTGTCCACAGGTTGGAGTTTAAATAATGATTGTTGATAAAATAAAAAAAAACTAAAATCTAGAACTAAAGCTCTAGGTGATTGCAGTACCCATGGGGCAAAGCAGGAGAACACACTAAGGACATACTGAAACTCTTGCTATATTCAGAAGAGTTATTCATTAATACTGAAGTGATAGAACATTGGTCACAACTGTTAAAATTGTAAGAGTAACCTCAGTAATAATAGAAATAGGATATATAGTTTCTATTTTTTTCTTCAATTATCTGAAAAATGAAAAACTTACCCAGTGAAAGGAATTGAAAACAGAAGAAATGAAAAAAGGTACATACTTGGCAAAACAGTGAGTCCTGGCATTCAAAGCAAAGTTATTAAATAAGAAAAGCAAGAATCTATTATATTGATAAAAGATATAATTCAGCAGTAAGATATCTGAAGTGAACCTTTGTATACCTAAACAGTTTTAAAATATAAAAAGTAAAAACTTCTAGAAATGCAAAAAAGGAGAAACTGACAACTACATGAAAATTCAAATGGAGACTACTGCACTTTTCGGAAATGGACAGACCAAGGAAACAAAAATAGGAACAAGATAGAGGTGCTGTTAACACAATTTACAACTGTGATCTACCTACTGAGATGCATAAAACTGTATTCCCAAAAGAAATTTCATGACCTTTAAAACTCATGCAAAATTTATAAAAACTGATCACTTATTAGAAAAAATACCCCAAAGTCACAAATTATAAAGAGTAGGAATCAATTGTACAGGCTCACAGCTTTGATAATAACTGAAAAGGTAATTAAGGAGCTGATCTAAAAAATATATATTAGACTCAAATGGCTTTAAGGTTCAGTTCTCCAAGGTTGCAAGAAAATTCCCAGGTTAAATAAACTCTTTTAGGATTGCTTGAGCCCAGGAGTTTGAGACCAGCTAGGCAACATAGTGAGACCTCATCTCTACAAAAATAAAATTAGCCAGGCATGGTGGCATGTGCCTCTACTCCCAGCTACTTGGGAGGCTGAGATGGAAGGATCATCTGAACCCAGGAGTTTGAGTAGTGGTAAGCCATGATTGTGCCAATGTACTCCAGCCTGGGTGACAGAGTGAGACCCTGACTCAAAAATAAATATAAACTCTTTCTGATCATAAAAAAGGTGAAAAGTTTGCTGACTGTTTCCACACAACTAGAAAGATAAACCCTAACATCAAATCCAGATAGAGCACAAAAGAAGGAAGGAATTCTAATACCAGGAAGTCTACTGTTATTTTCCATTAAATATTTCATTCCTATTCATTAAAATATTAAAGGAAAGCCACCAAACAATCAACTCAGCAAATGCTGAAAAACATTGGTTAAATTCTCAAACCCTAATAAGAAAGGGAAGAACAAGAGCAAAGCCCCCTGTGAGCTAGGAAATGAGAGTGTTGAGCAGAGCTGATCACTTCTCTCGTACCTGCGGGCTGGCAGGTTAACGCCGGCTGCCAGTGTGGATGTGCAGGTGAACAGGCAGAGCACACCGGCGGTGTATGCCTCCTCCAGCAGTTTCCTCTCATCACCTGTTAGGCCACTGTGGTGGTAGGCCACCCCGAACGGGATAGTGTGCTGCAGGACAGGGCACAGGCTGCCACCGCCTGTGTTCTTCAAGTTCTTAATCAACTCGTGTTTTTCTTTCTCCTTGTGTTTCAGATATTCCCTAGAAAAAAGGTCATTAGAAATATGAACGCTCGATCTTACAGTGACAAAACACCTATCACTTTCATCTTAGTAGATGCCAAGGTAAACATTCTTTTTAAAAGTCTACTTTCAGCTGGGCACGGTGGCTCATGCCTATAATCTCAGCACTTTGGGAGGCTGAGGTGAGAGGATTGCCTGAGCCTACGGGTTCAAGACCAGCCTGAGCAACTTGGCAAAACCTCATCTCTACAATAAATAAAAAAATTAGCTGGGTGTGGTGGTGCATGCCTGTAGTTCCAGCTACTTGGAAGGCTGAAGTGAAAGGATCATGTGAGCCCAGCAGGTCGAGGCTGCGGTGGCTGTGAGTGTGCCACTGCACTCCAGCATGGGCAACAGAGTGAGACTCCAACTTAAAAAAACAAAAAAAAGTCTACCTTCAGCCTGGCGTGGCGGCTCACGCCTATAATCCCAGCACTTTGGGAGGTGGAGGTGAGAAGACTGTCTGAGCCCAGGGGTTCAAGACCAGCCTGGGCAACTTGACAAGACCTCATCTCTATGTCTCTATAACAAATCAAGCCGGGCTGGGTGGGTCATCCTGTAATCCCATGCTTTGGGAGACTGAGGTGAGTGGATTGTCTGAGCCCGCGGGTTTGACACCTGCTTGGGCAGCTTGGTGAGACCTCATCTCTACAATAAATAAAAAAATTAGCTGGGTGTGGTAGCACGCGCCTGTTGTTCCAGCTACTTGGAAGGCTGAGGCGGAAGGATCGCCGGAGCCCAGCAGGTCAAGGCTGCGGTGGCCAGGAGCGGCCACTGCACTCTAGTCTGGGCGATGGAGTGAGACTCCAACTCTAAAAAAACAAAAAAACAAATCAAGAAAATTTAGCTGGGTGTGGTGGCACAAACCTGTGGTTCTAGCAACCTGGAAGGCTGAGGCAGAAGAATCGCCTGAGCCCAGCAGGTAGAGGTTACATAGCTGTGAACGTGCCACTGCACTCCAGTCTGGGTAATAAAGTAAGACTGTGACTCAAAAAAGGCAAAAAATAAATAAATAAAAGAAAGAAAAATAAAGTCTACTTTCATTGATATGAGGGGGGAGCCCCTCCCAAAAAATGAAATTTATAAAATATTGTATATGTATTCTTACATGTTTAAACTTCAGTAACATTCAAAGTATTCTGTTTGATGCAATACACCTATTGAGACACATTTTCTACTGCTCAAAACAGTTTTTGAACTCATCAATTTTGATGTCTTTTAATGCTTCTGCTGTTTTTTCTTTCACTTCTTCCACATGGGCAAAACATTTCCCTTTGAGGACTTTTTTCATCAGGGAAATACAAGAAAGTCACTCTGGGTGAGACTCGATGAATAGGGAGGGTGGGACACTGGGGTCATGCATTTTGAGTCAAAAACTGCTGAACACTCAGCACGGTGTAGGCAGGTGCACTTGCAAATCACCCATTATGAAATGGGCAAACATGCTGAAAGAATCTCCAAAGAAATTTCACTGAAGCCAAAAGCAGCCTCTCACACTACTATCTGATGAGACACTGATACCTAGTGGGGGAAGCCTGTACTACAAGGAGCCTGCTATCCAAAAGATAATTGTGGTTTCTTTTTGGTCCCTCTTGTATACTTACATAAAATGTTCTTAGAATTTTGATTCTGACTTAATCAGGCTGTCTTTATCTTTTTGTGGGTCATAGAACCCTGTGAAAACCTGATCAAAGCTAAAAAAAATACAACTATTCACATCAACGCATACTTCACATATGATTTCAGAGGGTTCATGGACTTCCTGAAGTTCATTCCTGTACTTCCTATGAATTCATGTATGGCAGGTTTAGATCTTTTCTCTAGATGTTATGACAGTTTTTTCTCTACAATATATCTTTACAGAAGATGGTTTGTTTTATTTTAAGGCATAAATTTTCCTCTCTGAGGATAGAAACATATATATTATGAAATCATAATTACTATATGGTAAAAACTATCTAAACACAAACACTTTAGAAACCCCGATAATATCCCACAATGTCTCCATCACTTTGCCAGTGTCTCTGTTTTATTATCTTGAATTATTATAAGAAAATGAGAGATTTACTTTTTTCAATGATAATTTAATTTTCTTAAGTTTTCATAATCAAAATCACTGTAGAGGCAGAAAGAATCAGTTATCAAATGCACAACTCCTTGATCATATCTCCTGTTTTTTGTTTTTTTTTTGAGTCGGGGTCTCACTCTTGCCCAGGCTGGAGAGCAGTAATGCGATCACGGCTCACCACAGCCTTGACCTCCTGGGCTCAGGTGATCCTTCTGTTTCAGCCTCCTGAGTAGCTGGGACTACAGGTGCACACCACAACACCTGGAAAATTTTTTGATTTTTTTTGTAGAGAAGTCTTACTATATTTCCCAGGCTAGTCCCAAACTCCTAGGCTTAAGCAATCCTCCTACCTCGGCCTCTCAAAGTGGTAGAATTACAGGCATGAACCATGGTGCCGAGCCCCAAACGTTTTTATCTTTGTACCATTCAGTAAATTTAAGTCTATCATAGATCAATCCATAACAGTAAGAATGAGAGGGGACATAGACGATAACTAGATTACCATCCAAGTAAATAGTTTATGAATAGTGATATAGCACCAGTTAAGGGGCCAAACAAAATCTGAAAAATGTTATAAAACCATACATGGGACAGACAGGTGCAGAAACAATTGAACTGTTAGTACTTAAAGTCACTTCATACTTATCTTTATTGGTATGACAGAGCCAATATTAAGATATTATAGGCCAGGTGTGGTGGCTCACGACCGTAATCCTAGCACTTTGGGAGGCTGAGGTGGGAGGATTGCTTGGGTCCAGGAGTTCGAGACCAGCCTGGGCAATTTGGCAAGCCCTCATCTCTACAAAATAATCAAAAAATTATCTGGGTGTCATGGTGCATACCTGTAGTCCTAGCTACTCAGGAAGCTGAAGTGGAAGGATCACCTGAGTCCAAGAGGTCAAGGCTGTGGTGAGCCATGATCATGCATCTGCACTCCAGTTTGGGTAACAGAGTGAGACTCTGACTCAAAAAAACCCAAAAAGATACAATACAATTACAAACCAACACATTTCTAAATTACTTAGGAAATTATATTCAAATGTCCATATAACTTACGAGAGAAGTTTACTAAAAGTATTTCATTAAAGAGAAGGCTAAGCTGAAGATATGTCCTTCCCACAGTGGTAACAGTGGTTAGTCCTTTGACTATCTAAGCCAGTATTTCTTGACCTTGGACTTGCCTGAGGAGCTCCCAGAGATTCTTATTTGTTTAAGATGTAGCCTGGGCATTGAAGTGCTAGAAGCTTCCAAGAAGGCTCAATGGGCAGCCAAGGTTTTGAACCACTGACCTAAGCCATATTAGTCAGCATTCTCTTCCATGTAACCTTTAAATTTTTCTCTATTTCACATGTGAATTTTATAGTTAAATTTCTTTCTTCAAGGTCAAGTCCATTCATGTTGTGTAGTAATATAATGTTCTGTAAGAGGTAATTAGTGCTTGCTCAATAAACATAATACTCAGTCTATAACTCATAATAAAAATGACATAGAATATTTTTGAAAGATTAACATACTTGCTTAAAAATTTGCATATCATTTGTGCTACATTTTCACAGTTCTTCTTAGTGGGACAAAAAATTAAGCAGGAATAATTTGGAATAACTTCTGTCACCAGTGCTACCAAGTGATCAGGATCCATCTTCTTCAGGGCATCAGAATACTGCAAACAACAAGACGTAGAGATAAAGCAGTTAGTAACCGTGAAACCCTGTCCATTTCTTGCCAGTGTATTTTGAAGGGTAAGTAAACCATCCATGATTCTGAACTTCTCATTTAAAGGAAAAAATGAAATCATTAAACATCAGAATGTTAAATCTCACTTTTCTCAGTTATTAAGGTTTTGTTATGTAAATTATGTAGTCTAAAACAACCTGGAATTAAACAAGTGAACTTAATTTAAAAAATTAAAGAAGTGAAAATAGTTAATGTTATTAATATCCCCACTACCCACCCACCTCCACCAAAGCGGAACAGAAAAGTCCAACAGAGAGAATCTCAGAATGATACTAAGTAAGATCAAAGGACCACATAAATAAGGCATACTCTTTACTATTACTAATAGTTTTCAGAAACACAGACTGAATCATACCACCAAATTATGACAATTTTTGCAATAGTAAATAGGTATGAGGAACTCAAAGAATGTGAAGAGAAAATTAAAATTATTTCAAATCTCAGTTTCTTTGACTTTACTGAAAGCTAATTAAGATAAAGACTTGGAATAACAAACTTTCATGGAATTCGAAAACTGTTGTAAAATTCCCTTCTCTCCTTTTTACTATCTTTCATATAAGTAATTAAACCCTAGCATTAACATAGTAGACATTAACATGGTAATACACCAATATCTGAGCTACCTGGTTTTTGTTAAATGAGTAAACATTTACAGGAGAGGCTATCAAATTTTCTTGGGTCACAGAGCTCCAGTGGCAAAAGAAATACCTAACAGCTTTGTTAATTAGATAGTTGTGTCCATAACTTAATAAACATGCACTTCCTCACATCTTAGTAGCAGTCTGAATAAGTAATACACATGAATTGAATGAAAAATATTTTAATTTCATTCTTAAAAAACCACAATAGCTCACTAATGGGATGTGCACACAACTTGGTACTATCTTTAGACTCTGGAATAAGCTGGGCACAGGCACCCTCTAATGTTCCGGATTGATTTTCACATGGTACATGCTCAAAGCAACTGCAAAAACCCAACTTCATGAAGATATGATGCCACAGAAGGGAATACAGTGGGATCTAATGTTGAAACTGGAGCCAGTTACCTTGAACCAGTAGTTTGTACAGTTTCCAGCAGATGTCAAGCATCAGACATTTCTCTCAAGAATTTATACTATCCTACGGCCCCCACTGGAGATTTCTGTAGTGCCGGGGAACCTGGACACAAGGTTTGGGAGACTGGCATTGATGGAGCTTCCAACGTTACCTTATAATTAAGGAGACGTGAAAAAGTCATGCCACTCTCAGCTTTGCTGTCAACCTCATATATCGAGTCATTTATTTTCAGATATTCTTTTAATTCAACCTTGAATTAAAAAGACATTTGCAATTAATACCACACATGAATTCCCCTTTCAGAATTTTAAATCTTGTAAACTATGTTGTAAAAAACAACAGCTATATAAAGATTTTGACTTTTCTAAGGAAGGTAAAACATGCTTCAACTGTAAAGTTCTTTCTTTTTTATTTTTTCCCTTTAAATCAAAATAGGGATCAATATCTTTGGATAAATACTTTTGAATGGAGTAGCCATATATCCAAAAGGAAACCAGACACTTTTGTATTGTCACAAAAAGTATGTGCCATAGTGTTCATACTCTTTATCTTTTACTAAGGTGTCATTTGTTTTTTTCTCAAGATCTAAGGCTTTCTATGTTATTAGCCACCAGTTGTTATTCTAAACACCACCATATTATTTTTAACTATTTGTAGACAAAAATAGTACACAGCTCACTGCTTTGAAAAAATAACAGTGTCTAAGATGACTCTCAAGATCAGGCAAGGTGTGGTGGCTCATGCCTGTAATCCTGGCACTTTGGGAGACTGAAGAGGAAAGATCACTTGGGGACAGGAATTTGGGACCAGTCAAAACTACACAGCGAGGCCCCGTCTCCATGAAAATATAAATAAATAGATCAAATAAAAAAGAAAAAAAAAGAAAAAAGAAAAAATAGCTTTTGAAAATTTTCACATTTGGTGAAAATGAAAAACATCAAATTTAAACTAAAATTTGGTGAGTTTCAAAAATTATTTTCTAAAAACCTATCACACACAGAATATGCACACTAGCTCTACAGATGGATAATATATATACATTATAAGCTACTTTCAAATAACTACAGATTACATTTGTTTACTTTAAACATTTTTTTTTTTGAGTTGGAATCTCACTCTGTCGCCCAGACTGGAGTGCAGTGGCATGCTCCCGGGCACCGCAGCCTTGACCTGCTGGGCTCTGGCGATCCTTCCGCCTCAGCCTTCCAAGTAGCTGGAACTACAGCGTATGCTACCATGCCCGGCTAATTTTTTGATTTATTGTAGAGATGAGGTCTTGCCAAGTTGCCCAGGTCTCAAACCCACAGGCTCAGGCAATCCACTCACCTTAGCCTCCCAAAGCACGAGATTACAGGCTGAGCCACCGAGCCAGGCTCATTTGTTTACTTTTTTTCAAACATTTCAGGAATGCATTTATTGAGGATTCACATCTAAATCCATGTGAAGTCTTATTTGAAAGGTATTATAACTACTAAAACATAAATATTTGAAAATATTTTAATTTCTAAGACATGCTAGTAACTTAAACCATGTCTCATTAAATTTGTCCAAATGAAAAACTATACTTACAAGAATAAGAAGTGAGGCCAGCCGGGCTCGGTGGCTCAGCCTGTAATTCCACACTTTGGAAGGCTGAGGTGAGTGGATTGCCTGAGACCACGGGTTCGAGACCCACCTGGGCAACTTGGCGAGACCTCATCTCCACAATTAACCAAAAATTAGCCGGACGTGGTAGCATGTGACTGTAGTTCCAGCTACTTGAAAGGCTGAGGTGGAAGGATCGCCGGAGCCCAGCAGGTTGAGACTGCGGTGGCCAGGAGTGTTCCACTGCACTCCAGCCTGGGCGACAGAGTGAGACTCCAACTCAAAAAAAAAAAAAAGAAGAAGTGAGGCCAGGCACAGTAGCTCATGCCTATAATCTTGGCACTTTGGGAGGCCAAGGTGGGGGGATTGTTTGAGGCTAAGAGTTCAAGACCAGACTGGGCAACACAGTGAGACCCCATCTCTACTAAAAAAGAGAGAGAGAGACAGAGAGTCATTTAGAGCCCATGGGCCAGGAACTGTTTCAAGTGCAACAGATACATTGTTTCATGACCCAAGCTGAGATCCCTGACCTACATACTAACTCTTATTAGCATGTAGCCACTAGGAATACAGTTATGCCCCTTTATTACTCTAAAGTATCATTGTATGCTGCATTTACTGCTTTTATTTCTAAGTAAGATGAATACAAAGCAAATCAATCCAGTGCAAACCTTAGGTACATACTGGTCTAAATGGATTGGTGTAATATTCTGCTTGAAGGAACTCTTTCAGGTCTTCAACATTGTTCAATGTTGCACTCATACCAATAACCTGAGTTGTTTCTAAAAACAAAACCAAACCCCGAAGTATTAAGAAAATGTGCTATTTAGTATATCATAAAGTAATTTTAGCTAACTTTTCATGCTCTGAATTCTTCCTGAGTTATTTGTGAAGGGGGCGAGGGAGATAAGTAAGAAAAATACAAATATATTACCAGATTATTAATTTAGCAATCAAAGAATGAGATTTTTCAGGTATCCTGAGAGTTACTACTTAAAAGTTGATAAAGCTTTAACCTTGGCAAGAAGCAGAATATGAAGGCTTCTAGACAAAAATCATGGGTATAAACCTATGGCTATTGTCACGGGTCATCTTTACGAAGAGCCACGGCACGACCCACAGATCTGGCTGTGGGCAGATACAGAGTGTGGTAAGATGGAGGGCTGAATCCTCAGCTCTTGCCATGTGAAAAGCCTTCAAAGAGAACTCACTACCAAGCTATTTTTTTTTTTTAAATAAAGCAATATGCCTTTCTGGATAGTACAAAATGGCTGCTTTCTAAGACGTAGTTATTTTATTGACAAAACCAACAGGCCTTCTGAGCAAATGTTTCTCTACTGCTGCTGTCTTAAGTCATGAAATGACCATTCAAGATGTTACCTGAAGAGGAGTAAGTGCTATCCTTTCCCCTTCCATTAGGTGGACCATGAGGCTGGAAGGTGAGAATGGGGCCAAATCAAGAAGGCTGTGCTAAAAATTAGAGATGTACACAGAAGGCAAAGGATGCCACAAAGCATGGTAGATGGTAAAATAAACCAATTGTGTTAAGGAAGGTGACTCCAGGGATGAAGGGCAGTGATAAGACTAAGGTAGAGGGAAGACTCGGTGATGTCTGTGGCCACCTGGTTGAGAGAAGAGGAGGTGCTGAACTAAAGGGATAGAAAAGCGGGTAGTAACAATAAATCATAAGGCAAACCAGTTAGGAATTGATTGCTGATAAAATAAACCAGAGGGAAGATGGTAGATTCTGGCTTGAGAGTGGTAGATGGGAATCCAGACTGAAGAAAGGGTTTGAAGGAAATGAGTCAGGTTTAGACTATAAGCCTCAGTTAGGGTAGCTGTTTGCAGGATACTCAAGTTGGCAGACTTGTTACTCAGGAAGGAGGTATAAACTGCAAGTGCAGATGGGAGCCTGTAGCATATAAGAAGCGCTTAAGTCATGAGTGTGGATGAGATTGGCAGGAACTGCAGAAAACAAGGAAAGCACCTGGGAAGAATCTGGGGTAACCCCAATAATCATCGTGAGAAGGCTTAGAAAGAGATGTCACAGAAGAAAAGCAAGAAGGAAAACTAAAGAGATTCATTTCATGCAAGCATCTATTAAGTGTAAGGCACTGGGGATAGAAAGACAATAATTACAAAACAAGCACATGTCTGTCACGTGGCGGGTATTATGCTAGAGGCTGTATGTATAAAGGTTAATGCATGCTTTCTTTGCAGCAATTCATTGAGGAAGGTTCTATGACTATTACCCATATCTGATGCCTGAGAAGGCAGAGGCAGTCACTATTATCTTGCTCAAGGTCCTGGACCTAGTCAATAAAAGCAAACCAAGGTTTGACTCCAGTTCCAGTGTCTGCTCTCAGTCATTATGCTACGTTGTCTCAGTGCTGAGTAGGACATGATCCCTCTATGGAAGGAGGGATCCAAAAGAGGATGGCGCACCATCCTCCGAAGGAGAAAAGGATGACACACAGCTCAGTGTTAGAGAGACATTAAGACAAGGACAGCGAGATACACTGGAATGGACAAGTAGGTGGTGATTCTCCTCTCTTCCTACTTCAGTTCCGCAGACTTTATCATAATTTGACCATCTGACAGACGATTAGTTTTCTTTTTTTATCTGCTCACTATCTGTTTACTTTCACCAAAATATGTGCTTGATGAAAGCAGGGATTTTTTTTTTTTTGAGTCGGAGTCTCACTCTGTCGCCTAGACTGGAGTGCAGTGGCCACTCCCAGCCACCGCAGCCTCGACC